GTTTTACATTACTTGCTTGTTTTAAAAAAACAGAAGCAGAACAAGCACAACACTTGGAGAACTCATACAACCACCCACTTGAATTTTTAACTTCTCCCTAGCATGAGGGGAAAAAAAGCAATAATTTACTAGGCAGTCAAGCAGCTACAAGCAGTTTTCTCCTGTCTGACCATGTGTTTAATTGCTTTTCTCCACTCAACACTCCACTCCCACATCACCTTATTCAATCTAAAGCAATAGCAGCAAAGATACAACTGGTCCCTGCTGTAGTATTGGCTATGCTGGATGAAAAAAAAGCAGCCACAAAACAACAGTCCAATTACGATGCTATGAGCAACTGGAACATTCAAAACTATGCATCTCAAAACAGCCAAGGTTGTTATTATGCAAATTCTGATATTTGCATAAAAATAATGGGGGGGGGGATGATGGAAAATGCATGTTTTGTTTCATGATTAGAGCCTGCTTTCCTACCCATACGATACCCAAAGTGGCAAACAATTAAAAAACGTGGGAGTGCTGCTGTTGATTTTAATCCAAGGCAGACTGAGTTTTCCACTGGGGTTTCATGTCTAGGATACACAGTTCATGCGACTTCTAGATTGGCTTTTCTGGAAATGGCATGATAATGACAAGCATGTCACAAGGCTGTCAGGATTTTTCAGGGCTCTATAATCCAAATAGCTACAGGAACCACTTCAGTTTAAGAGGACCTTAAGAGTTACATTAATCATAAAAAAGATGCTGTCAGATTGAACCAAGTACACGTTCTAACAGTGGACATATTAGAGCTGCATTGAATTTTCATGAGATTCATTATTTTTCTGCGAAAGGTGTCATTTCGGTAGGTGTAATAAAGTTTACATGTCTTTCCTTTCACCCTGTCCCTTATTTATGTACGTGTGTGTGTGTGTGTGTGTTCTTGTTTCCTCAATTTGCTGCCACTTGGAGATGGTGGAAGATAGTTCTTGACAGCGGGAGATATATATTCCTTTCCTGTGGGAGCTGCCCTCTGTGCACAGAGTGAGATAATGTTTTGGAATGACATTTCTGGCTGACTAACTTCATGTGGATTCTTTGAACAGCATCATTGTCAGTAGGAGGCACGTGGGAACATCTGTCTTGTTTGTCTCAACAGTGAGGTATAGTCCCACCTCCTTGATAGCTGTTCTGCAAGCAGCTTTTGCCAAAGGTGTTGAAAACTATCAAATATTTACAGATAACTCTTCTGTATATAACAGAACCTAATTTAACAGTAGTGTATGAATTTGTTAATTATTTGTGCACCGGATAGCCAAATATATTTTTTTCAGAATATGGAGAAACAAAAGCATGAAATATTTGCTTTATTGTTCAGTAGGAAGTAAGAGAAGAGGATGATAGATGTTATACATCATAATAAAAATAATTGCTTTTAAATGTATTTGTCACCTAACTCCCAGGAACTCTATACATCTTTAGTTTAGTGAAATTACAGATGTCATTTGTAATTATGCAATGAAGAAAGATTTTTAATTTATTCTGAGATGCATTAAAAATTAATATTACAGACTACTTCCACATAAGGATTTCTTCTATAAGAACTAATTGGTGAGATGAATTTTTGAGGATTTGAATAGAATATTTAGTTTAATTTTTCCCATCTAACAAAGAACAATGAGGATGGTGCCTTTTGAAGTCAGGAAACTGGATTGCCTTTCAGATAACAAAGCATTGCTTCTCACAAAAAAGTAGCTGAAAGTAAAAGCTTTCAGTGATATCCTGTTTAATTAACGTGATGAAATTGCATTTTCTAAGACATCTAGCTTTTTATACATCTCTAATTTGTATTTGAATTGTGGGAAGCACTTACTCCTTTTCTCCTGCCCCAAAATATTATTTTAATCACATCATGGATAACCTCTGAAAAGGTCTGGCATTTTTCTGGGCTGAAACACAGCTACACCTTTTTATCAAATAGAATCTACAGTTGTTAAACTTACAAGGACAGTTTGGTGACTGACAGGAAAATAAAATTCAGATAAATAAAAATGGGAGGTTACAAGCAAATAGGAAAATATCGGTTCATATATTTCATCCGGGATTTATTGTTTTTATTCATATGCCACAGTAAAGAGATTTGGAGTGAATACTAGAGTGGTAATCCCAGTTGCAGTAATTACTTAAGACAATTGAAGTCCTTGCAACTTTCCAGTTCTAAATAGACTAAATCCAACTCTTTTAACATAGAATGGAGTTTTCAATATTCCTGTATAGAAATCTGGGAGAATACTTATAGCAATAACATGTAGACTTAGTTACTGCTTCGCAGTGCTTTCCAGCTCTCTCTAAGCTGTTTACAGAGTCAGCATATTGCCCCCAACAATCTGGGTCCTCATTTTACCAACCTTGGAAGGATCCACCCCACCCCACCCCTGGCTTAACAACAACAACAAAAACTTGAGACAACATCGGGAAGATAAAGAAGTACTGGTTTCAAACTTATTTTTTAACTACTTGGAGATAAAATTAGACCAACGTTCTGCAATATAGGAGCCTAAGCAAAAGTACAAGCTTATTCTTCCTTTTTGCTGATTTCTTATCAACTGCCACTTGTTAGGCCAGAAACTAGATGACACAGCAACAGTTATTGTGCATGGATTTTTTTTTTTAAAAAAGGTGTAAAATATTTCATTCTTAACACTACAGTCCTTATGCTTGGAAAAAGTGGCCTAATTTGTGATTTATTTATTTATTTATTTTTGCTATTTCCCAGTTCCATCTATTTTATTACATTTTTGCTAATGGAGAACTCAGAAGCATTCACGCCTTTTTTGGTCATTCTAACAAAGGCATCACTCAAGGATAAGTTTGGAAACTTGTTAACTTTCTGTGCTAATAGACTGAGCAAACATTTCCTGCTCTAGGTCATGGTGCCTTATGATTTTTGGTACACAGGCTCTCAATAGGGTGATTATTTATCTAAGCTTCCAGTTTGTACAAGGAAATTCCTTAATTTTATTGTTGCTTTTAAATTTTGAATGAGAATTCACTTTTAATGGGGAAAAAATGACCCATGGAAACTGCTGTGTTAAGAAACAATGTATTAAATTCTTCTGGGGAGAAAAAGCTCGAGTATCATACATTTTAACTCGGTTAAATATGTGTTGCTTCTGTAGAAAGAAGAGAAAGAAAAGAAAATCTCTGATCAAACATTTACAGAATTTGAAGCAGGCATTTTTGAAACTGTTCAAGCACCTGCCTTTTCCCCCCTTAATCACTCAGTTCAGTATGAAATGTTGACAAAATGACAAATAACAACACTTGAAGCTGACTGTGCTTCAGATCAAAACACTTTAAGTTAGTAAAAAAAAAAATACACATACCTCCCACAGAATGCAAACAATTTCAGTCTCAACTTTATCTTTCCCCCATCATGTTTATGATGCTTTAGAAAGGAGGGCACTGATTGAGTCTGGAGCCCCAGCAAGCTTGTCATTTACAAATAAATCAAAAGGTCATCATTGCCATAGCAAAGGACTAATAACTGGGGTTGCTGTTGTGCTCTTTGATAGGCCCCACACTCAAGCCTGCTATTAAAAATGAATGCATTCAAGAGGCCTTACATTAAGAACATAAACAATTAAGGGTACTTGAGGGGCTTTCACGCCAGGCACCAGCCTTGCAAATCTGCTTTGGTGGTGAGCAAAGAGAATACGGGCAATTAGTGTTGATGTATCTGCTGTCTGCAAGGGATGGTTTCTTTCATCCCACATTGTTTTTAACTGTCCTCTGTATTTTCAGATCAGAAATCTAACGATAAGCTGTGTCAAGCTAGCTACGACAGCTCAGAATTAATGAATATTACATGAACCTGAGGGGCTGTGTCAGGCATTTCAGAGATTTAATGTCATCTATATTGCATATTCCTAAAGCATATCTTATAGCTTATATTTTTGATTGATTGACTGGTTTGGGGCTATTCATCCCCCACCCTTTTTTTAAAGGTTGGATTCTGGCCTCATGAGTATTTCTTAGGCCTTTTTTTAATGCTGCAAGCTTATCTTCATTTAATATCTGAAGCTCTCATTACTAGTTGTGGAACATTTCAAAGATTGAGTTCTTACTCAAAAAACTGAAAGGATAGCATAAATTAAACTTGAGTGTCGATCTTTGTAGCTCACAGATGGATTGAATGAAAGACTTCGTGTCAGTGCCTTACAATCATATATAGTGCAGTATTGACAAATATAGATATTCTCCAGTTCATTTAGTGACCATTCAAAGTTACAATAGCACTAGAAAAAGTGACTTATGACTGTTTCTTACACTTAGAACAACTGTTGCCGCATCCCCATGATTACACAATCAAAATTTGGATACTTGGCAACTGTTTCATATTTATGATGGTTGCAACGTTCAAGGGCCATGTGGACACCTTTTGCAATCTTCTGACAAGCAAAGTCACTGGGGAAACCAGATTTACTTAACAACCATGTTACTAGCTTAACAACTGCAGTGATTCATTTAACAACTCTGGCAAGAAGATCGTAAATAGGGCAAAATTCACTTAACAGATGTTTCATTTATGGCAGGGATGCAGGATGCCCTTATCAGATATCCTGCATCTCTGCCATAAATATCACAAGATACTAAGCATAGATTGTTATAAAGTACCTACTTGGACATTAGTTTGTGAGAATATCTACTTGTGACTTATTTCTCCTTTTCAGCACTCGGAAGACTTCAAATAATAAAAAAAGGGGGAGGAATAATAGATTTATCAATCTCATGCTGGGCTTGAATTGATGATTTATTTGTTAATGACAATGTAGTAATAATATATTTGTTTAAATATATGTGGAGCTGTAGCAGATGTTCTTTCCGTTTAATTACATATTCTAGATATTTGATGTAATATTGGGGTACTTCACATTTTTATAACATTTGTCTTTCACATGAACTTGTAAACTAAAATATAATGTGTGTGTTTTAATCCAAATATTTACTTTTCTCTATAGACTGAAATTGCCAAGAGATTGAATACAATCTGTGCACAAGTCATCCCATTTTTGTCTCAAGAAGTAAGTACAAATGTTCAGCTGTTTAAAGTGAAATTATGTTGCATCTTTGTTTGCAAATTAGTTCTTAAAATGTTAATTTTATCAAAATTCAGAAGAATGAGGAACATCTGTTGTAGCTGAAGTATGCAGGCCCCCTGTTAATTTGGTCTAGCAGATGAGATGAGATACACCAACTGTATAACTGGTGAAATAGCTCAACCACAAAATTATTCTTTCCAACACAGGAGGAGGCAGTCTAAAAAGATTATCAAGATTTTTTTTAATGCTAGCATTAGCTTAGCAGCTGCTAGTCTAGCCATTTGTTAAATCCTCTGTAAATAAAAATGATAGTATTTAATAGCAGACTAAACTTTTTGAGTGGCATTTGCAAACCCAAAAAACATCTAAGAATTGGTTGAAATTCTTAAAGCCCTTTTACGTTTCATTTGAAACATTAAAGTCTAAGAAAGCAGAAGTCTAACAAAAGTCTAAGAGGCCTGAGTTGTAATCTGTGTTAAATTTCTTGACAAACATTTATTAGCATTTATGTAGCAACTTCTGTAGGATTGTGCCATGAGACACTGTAAAACATAGAAGTGAATTTTGGGGAGTAGGAAAACCTGGTTACTGGCACAGATGTAAATTGTATTGTGTATGGGAGAACCTGGTGACTAAGTTGATACCACGACATTGGCGGAATGCTTATTAACACAACACGAATAGGCCAGATATACTGCCCTAATGCTTTGTCACACACACTTTCCTAGCTTACAATTGGCACCCAGGAGTGCCTTGAACGATGACTCCCCAATGAGATAGTGTTAAGGCAAAGGTTGAGGTGACCAACATCAGCCAATAGTATGGTTTAGCACAGTATGCTCAACAGAAGCCTTACATATCAGCTTTGGAAGAAGGTTAACTTGCAAATAAACAATAGTTAAAGCTATGTGTTTATGTATGGTGAAAGGAAGTTGCGTCTTGGTTTGCTAGTTTGAAATATACCTACTGCTTAATTTAAAAAAATGCCTTTTTCTCCTGCTTAAATCTGAAATAGCGGTTGTTCTGATAATAGACATTTATTTGTCCTTCCAGCATCAACAACAAGTGGCTCAAGCAGTGGAACGTGCCAAACAAGTGACCATGGCTGAGCTGAATGCCATCATCGGGGTACGTGGCCTTCCAGGTCTACCTCCTACAGTGTGTATAACCAGCTTTCCTTTTTTATTGCTTTTGGCAGTTTTGATGTTTTAATTTTTAATATGTAATATCTTTGATAATTAATGGCTACATTTTAAGTATTTATTTTCTTGGCACCTATGCATTTTTAAACTGGTAGCATTGTTAAAAGCTTAATTTATTGCTTTATCCTATATATCGGGGATACCCACCCTTGGCAACTTAAAGACTTATGGACTTCAATTCCCAGAATTCCCCAGCCAGCCATGGAGAATTCTGGGAATTGAACTCCACAAGTCTTTAAATTGCCAATGTTTGACATCCCTGTTATATATTACAGACCTATATTTTATATATGGAATGTTTCTGGATTGTAAATTAATGTTTGGAGTGGGTATGTCACAGGTTAGAAAAAAGAAACCAAACTGATTAGGACTGATACATTTTGTAGGGATTAACAGACTTTCTTGGTATCTGAGTAATTGGATAATCTGAATATCTACATTTACCAAAAATAAATAAATAAATAACCGTAGCATGTTATAAAAGTAAAGTTATTTTGTTCACATTTATAAGTGGAGAAAATGATTGGGTGAAAAGTTTAAGAAATGTTTATTTCTGCTTTTGCTTAACTATATCATCTGTATCATCCCAATTAATATACTATAGTAATACTAATGTCATAGTTATGTCCCAAAATTACATGACAAGTTCTTTTAAATACAAATAAAAATAGTTATCTAAACTGTTCCTCTTGACATTATACAAAAAAATGAGAAAGGATATCAGACAATCTTAAGGTTTGCTAGAATTTAGTATACCTGTCACATTCATAGAAAGTTTAACCTCATGGGAAAATAATCTGCTAATATATGAAAACAAATAGATAAATCACTTTATATTTATGGGCATCGTGCACCAGACATTTTGCTTGTCATATACATTAATTTTATAATGCTGAAGACATATCACTTGTATTTCCATCCTATTGCTTCTGTAGTGGGCAAAAGAACTTGAAACAAGTCGTCCTCCTTCTGATTTTTATTCATGTGCGAGTACTATGAGAGATTCAAATTATTCATTTACTAGTTTATGTTAATTGCTTGTGAGAAGATGCCCTGCTGGTCTTTATAGTTCCCTCAGACACTTTGTAATGATAATTAGACATGCTGCTGTATGGATTAACAGTGCAATAGTCCAGTGACATGTTCAAACAATAGCACCGGTTAATCCATCTGTGCTTAAAATTACATCCCAACTGGAGATGGGGGAACTCCCCCCATCCCCACAAGACCTAAGGAGGATTAAAAGATGATCCTCTGCTTGAAAACTCTGCTTTAATCAATTTCTGAATTGTAGATCTGTGGTAAACTATTGGCAGTCAATTAGGTGAAATAAACTGAGAGAATGACCTTCATTTCCTTTTAATAGCCATTCCTCCCTGCAAGTGTCAGTAGATTTTCAACTTAAATTTTATTCAGGCAGCCTTATTACATGCCACAGATTAGCTTTGCATAAACACACCTCCCCTTTAAACTAGGTCCTTGTTCCTCCTGCTTGCTCCATCCAGTCAACTACCTTTTCTCCAAAGTCTTTATTTGTCTTCATGACCCATGACTTGTCCCTATGATGTCTTTACTTGGAATTTAGTTCAGAAGTTCAATTGGGTATTTTCTATGTGTGCAAGTGTGTTTAGCTGACACAGCTCAAAATAGCTTTTAAAATAAATTGGAAATGTTTATATTGGACAATGAATATTTTGTGGAGCATCTGGTTTATATCTTTGTACGCTGCTACCTTTTCCTTAAGCGCCCATCAGCCAAGAGAACAATATTGCAATCATTTACAGACTACCTCCAGTTGAATGCCTTCAGCACAAACTTGTGTATTTTTAAAGGAACAAGACTACCATCCATTCATTTAATACACTGATTTCATTTTAAGTGAAACAACAGCATTTTTTTTAAAAAAAAGACTGCAAATTGAGGTTCGCCTCATATGCAGTGAACTCCTCCTGAAAAATAATTGCATACTCCTTAGCAAGAAAATAAGAGTTGCCCTGTCAAATTGGACCAATTTAGTCCAGCATTTTTTCAATATGATAAAATGCTGGACTAAATCAGAATAGGGTGATCACAGACAGGAGACTGAAGTTTGCCTCCCTGCATATGTTATTTAGAGAGATGCAACCCAGCCTTGCACAGCTGATCTAACAATTGTGTTATAATCCAAAAAGTGTTGTGCAACTGCAGTCTCACTTTACACATAGATATTGGTCCGGCAAGAGATCATCTCTTCCACTGCACATTTGTATACACAAATAATTATTCTGTGCTGCACAATAAGTTTCATGCTCTGGCATATGCTTGATTTGTTTGAAAGGGGTTGGGTGCACTCTGCAAAATTGGAGTAGCATAAAATTGGGCTGACAATTCACTGGCCCTTTGCTCCTCTTCATTGAACATTCACTGTGTCAGCCTGTGTCCCTAGAGGGGAGGAAGCATCAGGAGTCGGTCTGTTCTTACAAGCAGCAGCTGCACTAAAGTAAACGCCAGCTCAGTTTAATAGCAGCTGTCAGTATTGTTCAGAGACCCAACTTAGTATAAAGAACAATAGTGGAGGCCATGCTCTTAAACTGCAGTGTCTTTCAGGCTAATAAAAGAAATAGTAATTTAACGGTTTAGACATCTATTGTGAGCCTGAAACATCATGAGTCTCTTCAAAATGCAAATCATCTGCTGAATTCTCCAACATTAGAAGCACAAATCAAGTAGCCAGTGGCTAAGCAAGGCCCAAGAAATTTGAGTTGCATGAAAGTAGAAGCAGTAGAGAGGCAACAAATTGAGGGAAAAGTTGAGTATATTCCTAATAAGTGGAAATAGTTAAGATCCATGTTTTTAGTGATGCTTAATGAGATTTAGTGTTTTTTTAAAGAGCTTTATTGCTTGACATTGAAAACAATTGCTTCTAAATGGTGCCCTTACTTCTTTGTTGGGAATGCCCTTCTACCTCTAGACCTGTATTCCATTTGGCACAAGAATTAAGGCACAGGTAGGTGTGAGGAAGATGTGTTGGGAAACATTCAGTTACGAAATTGGGTCCTGGAGGAGTTTGCTCTCATAAAACCTGTAAACTAGATCTGGAGCTGTTTTAATCCTGATAGAACAAATTCTAACAACCCCTTAAACACCCTCCCTCCCCCAAATGTAACACTCTTGAAAAGTGTCCAGGTTCCTTTTTCAGAAGTCTGATCCAGTATGGTTGCCCATCTGCAAGTTTATGCAGTTAGGTAGTTGAGATTGTATAGTGTTTATTTGAAGATAGGGCCAAAGGTTCATAGGCAGAATACCTTCACATACATTACACACATTTGGTTTGAAAGCTAATTAGATTGAAAAGTCTAATTTTAAATATTACAAAGTGAACTAGCAAAATGGCAAGTGAAGCAATCATTCTCTTCCTATTTCAATGTTCCAAATGTGGTGATAAATATTTTCTTGGCGTGGACATTTAAATAGATTTCTTAGTAAAGTTTTAAGAGATTAGAGTAAGAGGAAAATATAGTCAGCGGTTAGGAAAATTAAAGGAAGTTTGTATTAAAATCATAATTGGGCCACACTGATAGATAATTAGATCACTTTAGGAGATTGATACAGATTTGCAGATTTTTTAAAGATGAACTGTACAAATACATCTTAAAGAGTATTTTTTGGGTCCACAAGACATTGTGGATATTTTAGTTGAGGTGAAAAAGAATTTAATACTTTAATGATTGAAGAGTTTCCTCTTACCCTTTTGAGGTGTGCTGTTCGTGCTACTATGAAAAGTATCAGTTGGATTGATGGTATTGGTGAGACAGATTGAGTTGTTGGCATCTAAAGGGCTTTGTGCCATTGCATGAGGTGATTGACTAAAGGATTAGCAAACCACTGGATTATTTTTCCTTTCCTTGGCTGTGGTATCTTTGAGACGGTAGTGTGTGAAGCTTAAGAGGATGAGGTTAACCTCTTGAGGGTTTATTATGAGCCTGCAGTTAATCTTCAGAGCCCCTATAAATTACTAGAATATATCTTTTCCTGTAAAATAGAAATATGGAGGCAAAAATTTGCTGCTGCAGCTTCTTATTGCAGAGGTTTTGGAATCATTGTTTGCAATTTTGACTTTACTTTTGGGGTGGATGGGGAGAAGGGGCCACTGAAGAGATAAAATGTCAAAAGACTTTTAAAGAAGGTTGGGGGAAAAGGTTTAATAGTATTTTCTCCAGCCTGATGTTCAAATGTTTTAGGCTGCAACTACCTAATCCACAACCCACCAAATCTCTAGCTGTTAAAGTTAGAGTTATTTTGGGGTGAAGTAGTGGGAAAAATCAGCAAGATGATGGATGGAGCATTGGGATACATAACTCATTCCTTTTGCTCATGTGTCACACATTCCAGCTGCCATTTCCCTCCCACTCCCCACACTGCTGGTTAATACTGATTGAAGATTACAAGAATTGTCTTTTTTGTCTGAGGAATATACTGCAAATTTAAACTCAAAAACAAGATGCTGAACAAATAAAATGATCTCTTTATCTACTTAGGGGGATCTAAATTACAAAGTATGCTAAAAACCAGAGTCTGGTATGTATTTCTTAAAACTCTGCTTTCCCCCCATATACCTTGCACACTGTATTTGAAATATCAAGCTATGCTTTTGAAATAAGACATATGTTTGCTGCTTGATGATGGGTGGTATGAATTTATAATTAGAAACAAGTGCTAAAGAACCATAAAGGTCAGAGAGAGGAGTGTACAAAGACATAAAATAAATTTATACAGACAGCTATAAAATCTGTTATCCATCTATTCCATTATTTCCAGTTTTTAGTTTGAAACTTTTCTGTTCTTGTTTAAACCCATGCTATTGTATTTTTATTCCCTGTGCTAAAAATATTTCAGAAATGCAAGTTGAAATGTATTATATATGATTAATTGTGATAATATTTTGATCATAATTTTGATAAGTTTTGGTGGTGCATTGGTTAGAATGCAATATTGCAGGCAAACTGCTGACTACCACGTGTTTGATCCTGGCGGGACTCAAGGTTGACTCAGCCTTCCATCCTTCCGAGGTTGGTAAAATGAGGACCCAGGTTGTTGGGGGCAATATGCTTACATTTGTAAATGGTTTAGAGCAGGGGTGTCAAACTGGCAGCCCATGGGCTGGATGCGTCACCCATAGGCCATGCCCTTCCCAGCTCCACAAAGCGGGAAAATGTCTTGATACATCAGATTACAGCAACATGACACTGCAAGTTTGACACCCGTGGCTTAGAGAGTGCTATAAAGCACAATGGAGCGATATATAAGGCTAAATGCTATTGCTCCACGTGTTATTTTCTAGAAATACTTTATTGTAAAAGTGAGGGGCAGGTTCCCATTTTGGGTTTATCATTTTTCTTTCCCTTTCCCATTGAATAAAAATGTCTAAAAGATTAGGACTTGATTTAAAATATTCCAAAGCATAAAACCAAACATGAAATTACTCAATTATAATTATACAACTGTGTTACAACTTTTAAACTCCTGTTGAAAGAACCAAGCCTCTTCAGACAGCATACTTTTCTCCTTTATTAGGTCAGGCTTTGACCCCTGTTGCTGGATTTCACTAGTCATCCTGGCTAAAAAAATATTTGGTTAATAGTGATGCTACTCTGAAGTGGGATTTAAAGGTTACATAGCTGAATTAAACTTGCAAGTTTAATAAAAGAATATCTTATTCAATTGTATAATTTAATTTGAATATTATTTTTCTCCTTTTGCAGTAAATATGTTACTTTCTTGATTTAGAACATGTTTTTAAATTCATTAATTAAATTAGTTACAATGAAGTTTTAGGATACTAGTGTCATGATATATTTAAACTAGTTAAAAAGTTATTCAAGGAAGCAACTAAGCTTTCCCAGGTAGACCCAATTTCCTGGTTTTCATAGCACACAAAAAGTCTTTGTTATGAGCAGCAATCAACCCCTTTTTATTGGCATCCTAATTGCAAATCCAGCATATTGTCAGATGTGCAGTGTTAATTTTGAATTCAAGATTGGAGAAGACCATCACCTACTAATACCTTACTTAAGGAGAAAAACTATATAAGCACTTTACTTGGAGTGGGAAAAGATACAATTCATTGATCCACACACTTTGTAGACCGTAGGTTATAATTTAAGTGATTTCAGTTAAAAAAAATGATTGATTAGGTGATAGAGGGAAAATACTCTTCCACTTAACAGCCTGGATAGGAACTGGAGTGAAGCTGGAGTGAACAGTAGTGCAATAAGTGGGGAAAAATAAATACTGAACTAGTATAAAACAGCTTATACATATCCCATGTTGCTACATTATCTTCATGAAGATATTTTTTTAAAGAAAGACACACATAGAAAAAAACCATACAAATAGAAATTTCTGTACTGAATCTTGCTAAAGGTAAGGGGTAGGAATGTCACTGACATTCATTGCACTGTTTAAATATTTGAAACTGTCTTTGGAACAGAATAAAAGTGGCTTAAAACACATTTAGTTATTGTAGATATAGTGGTTTATTTCATATGATTAAAAGATTAAAAGTAAAGAAGCAGTGCTATACATAGTTTCCTGATTCATATGAGATTGCAATTCTAGTTGACTGGAAGATTTTTGGTTTGTCACTTGCAGTATTCAAAGCGACTTCATATGTAGCCTAAAAATGAATAAATATATACATTCAGTCTGATAATCTAAACGTAATCTTTCCAGCTGAGATGAAATCATCTAAATTCAGCTTCTGTATCAAATAATACTTATTTACTGAAATATTGTTTTATTCTATATATGCATAGATGTCCAAGAATCAGAATGCCAGTTCTGTTGACTCTGCACTTCATAGCAAGTAGAAAGAAAAAGCAACACTTTTTAAAAAAGTCTTCTCCAAAATACAATATACAATAATGTTTTATTACCATGTTGTAATGTCGAATTGTTGTTTAAATGCAGGCTCCTATTCATTCTTTTTATAATACAATTTAAGAACCAAGGCTGGACTTTTCTGTTGGCAAAATGTTGTTTATTTTATAAACACAATTTTAATTTTGATTAATAAATAAATAAATAATAAATTTTAGTATTTGAGGATTTAATTTTAGCATTTCTATGAATTGAAAGTTGGATGCTATTGTAAAAATAACATTGTAAGCATTAATAAACACCTCAAAATCACATTATACTTTCCACACAGTTTTATGCAGTGTTTAAAGCATCTAACTTCAAGTTTGCAATCTAAAAATTATGAGCGATATAAAAAGAAAAGCAAATGAATCTATCAATTATTATCGGATGGCTTGATAATTCATGCAGAATCTGCATGAATCTGGTTCAGTTTATCCAATAATATCTCAGGTTTACTAAAAAAAAAAAAAGACAAAATGAGTCTTTTACTTGTGCATTATTCTTCCAGTAAGTCAGACTGCTTCCAAATGATTATACTTTTCCAAACCACAGATGTTTGATATTGGGTTTTGGGTTGCTCTGAAACTGGTACTTAATAGTTTTTTCAATTTTTTAAAAAGGGCAGAATTATGGCTAACTCACAACCACCTGATGAAACGTGCAGCCTTTTGGGCTACACTGAATTGGATTCTCAGCATTCTTACATCCTTCAGCCATTTTATCTTGTCTGTTTAAATCCACAAAAAAGCTTCAACTGGAAATTCCTTTTAAAAAAGTAGAAAACGAGAGAGTGCTTTCAGCCTTGCTCACCAATGAATGACAAGGATGTATGTAGCAGCCATTGTATCCCATTTTCCACACTTGATACTAAGGGGGAGTTACTTTAGGCATCCTGATCAGCAGAAAAGTTCCTTCACACATATGTGCATAGAACCCCCTCACATATCGTTCAAATGTCATGTGGATGACAGCTAGGAAGTGGAATTTGGGCATTCTGTGAGAAATCCTTTCATACACTTTTTCAATGTAAGTTTTTATGAAGCCATTAGTGGTGAAATAATTGAAGTGACATGAAAGTAATCATAATGGAAATATCTGATTTCCATGCAGAACATTTCAAATAAGTTGCATCTACGTGAAAGAGGTCTATTACACAATGGTTCACCTTAAATGTTATATACGCCTGCCCTGACACTTGTATCTATTTACTGTAAGACTACACTGAGGCATCATAAAAGAGAGAGAAAAAAGGTGGCTCCTGGGTAATCCCAGACACTTTGCTGCTTCTTTTTTTTTTAATTCTTTCTCTCTAAAATCAGAAAATCTGTGTCTTATTTCTATGTTGCCCCTGTGCTGGTAAGTTTCTCCTACAGAATGGTGCCCCCACTGTTTCTATGCTGAAGATACAAATAAAACTGGATGATGTATTAATAAATTAAAATGAATATAGACAAAATAAACCAAAATGAGGACCTCGCTAACTTTCCTACACTGGATTTACAAAAGAGACTTGTTAAAGGTTTGAAGAATTTTGTGAGAAAAGCCAAAGGAAAAAAAAATCAAATTCTGGGGCATTATGTGAAAGGGTTTAAAAAGCAGAACTTCCCTTGTGGGAAAAACAGTAAGAAGAAAGAAACTTAACAAATTAGGATTGTTAAAAGTAAAGGGATATGAAGTTGGTTTATTTGATCAAGGTATATATATGTATGTGTGTGTATGTATTCACCTCTGATAATATTTAAAGGATTTTTGTTGATTAGGACTGAATGGGGATGCTTTTAGGATCTGTATATTGATAAGAGATAAGTAATGGGAGAAAGAGGGATTTCTTAAAAGTATTTTTTAAACCCACCTTTGTTAAGAGAAGGTGGTAAGTTATTAAATTTATACCTGTTTAGATGAGGCGGGGAGGTAATTTCTATTTTCTTTTCTGCACTTCTTTTTTCTTAGTTTGCATTAGTTTTTATCTTTTTAATTGTTCATTTTTAATAAAATTACTCTTTAAAAAGAAAAAGACACCCCCCAAATTTTTGGACATGTTTCTCGGAAGAAGCCCTAAATATAAACAGCTGTATAAAACAATGTTTGAGATCTTTTGATGTTGAATTCAAGGTGGCATGGCAGAGCTCACAGTTGTAATCATTTTAAATTCTTTGTTTAATTATGGGAAAATAAAATCCCTGGGTTTATTTGATAGATGCCAATTTATTTACAAAAGTATATCACACTTAAACTGAAAGACATGCTTCTGTTGTGGAAAGAGCATAAATTGCGCTGTGCTTTGTTTGGCATGCTACAGCGTGTTACTTCTTGTTAGTTAACATTAAGAAAGGAAAAGTACCAGAGGAGCAGTAGCAAGACAATACTTGATATGAAAAGTAGAAAAAGAAACCATATATCAGACATCCTTTACTAGAATGCATAGAGTACATTTATACATTGTAGAAATACTGGTAAAATATATACTTTATAGTTTTTATAATATAAAAGTGTTTTGTAATATATATTTTCACAGTGACTGCATGGATTGGGTCCACTTTATGGTGATAGGAAGCACTGCTAAAATGATTAAATAGTCCAAAGCTTTCTAATGAACATGGTTGAGACAGATTTTTAAATGTGTCTTCTCTGGTTACTGCACAAAATTTAATTGAATACAGTATTAATAACTCACAAAAGCAGGTGTTTTGCTTAAAATTCTTGATCTAAGATACACACAAATGAAACACTTTAAGTGCCTCTAACATTCTGTTAAATGTTATGTTATCTATAAGCACAGTTATAATGATTATCTTTTTCTTTTTTTTAAAAAAAACAGTAAGTACTACATTGTAGAGGTGATAAATGTAATTGATATGATTGTACCATGTGTCAAACACAGGACCTGGTAATGCTATCAGCTCTTGAGAGTTGCAGCTTGGCTGAAGTCATAATGCAGAGACCCATGCTTACAAATGTAAGCACTTTGAATAATTCTTTCAAAATTGGAAAGGGCTAAGTAGAACTTCTGGCTGCTAAAATACAAGGTGTGGGCTGCAATTCTGTGCACTAACCTTCTCCAACCTGGCATCTACCATATTGGGAATTCTAGAATCCCAGTCTATCTGGAGAGAGTGCTAAGTTGGGGAAGGCTGTAATATTTATCTGGAAGTACGTGTCATTGTTCGCAGAGGGGCTTATTTCTGAGAAGATAAATAGTAACTCGAAGCCTTGTAGCTTAAGTCAATCTCTTGCCTTCTGTTTGGAGCTCAGTTATATAATCCCTGGTGTTAACATTCAAACCGGGGGGGTAGACTGGAAGGGGAAGATGTATATTTTCTATGTATGTATAACTGTATGTACTAGTCTTCTCCAAACAAGGCACCTTCCAGAGCCATGAATTGCAGTCCCAGAATCCTCATCTGTGATCTGGGGGAATTCTGAAACATGAAGTCTGCACATCTGGAGAACATTGAGGCTGGAAAAGACTAGCATATATATTGTGATCTGGCAAAGATCAGTCTGATCTTCTGCTGAATTTGGGGATAGGTACATAGATTTGAAATTGTTGAAGTAAATTTCATATAGTGCTCTTAAGGGTAAGACTAATCAGATCAACACTCTTGTTTGTATTCTGTCAGTCTTAATGTCAACCATACACAGACGACAAGAATGAAGTGAAAAGTTTGGTCATTTTTCCAACTGGTGATTCAGTATTGGAAATATTCCTAGCAGAAGCTGTAACAGAAACTTATTTTAGATAGGGCCCTTTTAAGTTGTTGGTTTTCATCTTTATTCAAAGCAGTTGTGAAAACAAGCATTTGGGGACAGGAAGGTGAGAGCAATGATATCTCTGTCTGCACTAATTCTTTTAATACGGAGATGGATTTGAAAGGTGCCAGCTGTCTTCCAGAGTCTAGACTACACAAATCTGTTAGTTGGGCTGCAGATTAAATTGCATGGTTTAGTTCTGTAATTCAAAAGAGAATCAATATCCAAGGCAGTATTCTTACAGTTGTGAAACTTAGCATAGGGTGGTTAACTAGACCAGGCTGAAATAGGGTAGATGTTGAGGCAAGAAATGGTGTTATGTTCACTGGCTAACCAGTCCTCCTTTTCTTTCCTTCCTTCCTTCCTTCCAATTGCCTGCTGCTTCTATCTGGAAAAACCACAACAAATAACAGCAACAGCAGTTGCAGGCTCAGCATCTCTCTCACGGCCATGGACCTCCAGTGCCTCTTACTCCACACCCATCAGGACTTCAGCCTCCTGGGATCCCTCCACTTGGAAGCAGTGCTGGCCTTCTTGCCCTCTCAAGCGCGCTGGGTGGGCAATCTCACTTGGCAATAAAAGATGACAAGAAGCATCATGATACAGACCACCACAGAGGTGAGAGGCATGGGAAGCCTGATTAGGACGTTTCAAATAAGTGTTCGCACGTTGCTGAAAATTGTGGGCATCTCTAAAGAATTCTAAAGAGCTATTTAGAATGAAAACCAAGAACAATTATAATGCCAAACATTAAATGTCCTGCATTTATATCACTGAAACAAAATTTAGCTTGAGGTACTTAGTTTTTGAACCTGGAGTTCACTAGGATTCTCCTGCTTTGATGAAATGCAGGGCCTTTTAACATCCCTACAGATGCTTAGTTGTAGCCTCAGTGGCCAGCACAATATTGTGGATGATCATTATACAAGAATAAGTGGGCAATATTTTTGTTTCTTTTTTTTTTTTAATTAAAGAAATCTTTAACTGAAAGGGGGCAAGAGGTGAAAGGGTGGGCAAATGAAGAATAAAAAAATTGAGTTGAATGAGTTGAAATGAAAGGTTTTAAGCATTGCTCCTTTTTTGTAGTTTTGTTTAGGATACCTTTAAATATTGGGCAAATTGCACTTGAATAATTTTTTGAAGAATAAAAATTAATTTATTCTGTCATGGAAAGAACTAGGCCTTGTGTATGGTTAAACTGTAAATCATGTTTACAAAATGTAATTTTCAGGAAATCACTGTATTAGGAATGTGCAATGACTTATATAAATAAAAGCCATTTTAAAACTGTTTGCGGCTTGTGTTCTAATTTCTTCCCCCTTTTTATTTCTGTTCTTGCCTCTGTGTCTGAACGGGCATGTCTGTGCATTTCTTGGTTACTACGGGAACAGACAGAGATCCAGGCACAGTAAGTACCAATATTCCTGCTAATGTTAACATTTTCATAATTGCGGTAGTTGATAGCCTAGATATTCACCTTTTTTCCCCTGTAGACTTACTTTCTGCTTCTCTCTCCTAGTTTAGATAATGGTCACAGTTTCTCCTATTTGGACACCTCAGTGCTCTGTTGGGAGAATTAAAAAAATACTATTTATTTTTAATAGCCTTTGTGGCTATGGAGATAAAATCCCTGCAAACTAATCTGGTTTCAAGACAGCTTTGCTAATTCCATAACTAATATGTGCTTGGGAAACAATATCAGCTATTATATAGTAGTCACCAGGAATGAGAACATTTTGATCATTTTTTCTTCACAAACCTGACACTTTTAAGTGTGTGATCAGACATTACACATCTAATCAGAACTAGCTATGTTAATTCAAAATTTGTCATTAATTAAAAAATAAATGTTATATATAGTTTGTAACATACTTTTGAAGAGTCCTACTGTTTTAAAATATATTTAAAAAACAATAATATACATCACATGTCCTATAAAATTCCTTAACAATATAGAACAATACTATTCAAGAAGTCATCCTCTTTTTTTTTAATGGCCTTAGATAACATATGTGTGGTAGTTACACCCTCTGGGCAATTATTATATTGAGTAACACATCATATCGTTTTAAAAAAATTGATTTTCTTATACTCTTTGCAAAGGGATTTCTCAGAGCTTTTATTCTGGTTTGAAAGATTTTTTTTGAGAGATAAAATTAATGTGCTCCTCTATCTTCACGTACTTTTTTCAGAGTAGAACCTGAATGCTGAATTTTAAAGTGTGGGATTTTAAAGAGCGAATCAAGGTTTTATGAGTACACATCCTATTAAAGCTACTCTATAAGATTTTTCTCCATCATTGTCTTCAAGGCCACTCTGATTCCATGGTGACTCTGGGCAGATTACAAATTAAAATTAAAACAAGAGATATTAGAAGAAGAAAAATATACCTGTAAATGTTAGTAAATATTGTGTGTTTCCTAAAGAGATAACAGATGAGGTGGGCAAAAAAAAGTTCTGCCTCTTGTCCTGCATAGGTAGGTGGGCTTGTCAGTCCAATCATATAGTTTGGATTCTGAGTTTGCTTCTGATAGAAAAGTGAAAGTGATAAATTCTTCTGAATTCCCTCTTCTTTTGCACCCCCTTGTATTACAGTGAAGTTGTAAGTTTGAATGGTCACTGAATGAATGGTTGTAACTGGAGGACCACCAGTACAAGTAGTCCTCAATTTACAACCATGACTGAGCCGGCAATTATAGTTCATTAGAAAAGAATATTTGTAGCTCAGGTTTGAACTGTGGGGTCCTCGGTGGTCTCTGAACTTGGTAGTTTTCTTGCAGACATTTCATTACCAAACTAGGTAGCATCAATGCACCAACTACAGTCATAGTTTGTGATGGTCATTAAGCAGGGCATAATGTGACCAATTGCTGAGTGTCCAAAATGTGGTCATGTGATCATGAGTGGGAGGCAGCTGTCATAACTTTAAATTTGGGTCATAAATCCCTTTTGGGGGGGGATCCATTGTAATTTCATACGGTTGCTAAGTGACCAATCATAAATCAAGGATATTTGGGTTTCCTTTCATCATATCCTAATTTTAACTGTTTTAAGGTTTTCTATCGTGTTAGCAGGAGTCAATTTGTTATAGTGGTTAAGTCACTAGGCTAGAAACCAGTTCTAGTCCTACGTTAAGTATGAATCCAGCTGGGTGACCTTGGGCCAGTCACTCTCTCTCAGCCCTAAGAAAGAGGCAGTGGCAAAACATTTCTGAAATCTTGCCAAGAAAACTCTGTGAATTTGTCCATGCAGCCACTATGAGTCAAAACTGCCTCCAAGACCCTTAAAAAGTTATCATTAACCAGATTGCAGCAGAAGATAGACACAGATATATAAAGTTAGAATAGTTAGGGAGGACAGCTAAGGAATAACTCCCTATTTCATATTCTCATATATACTTTCCTTGTATATGAAAGTGGATTTGTTAAGGGAAAAAAATGATAAAACTGTAAAATTGCAACTTTTCTTTTACTAAAGGAAATAACAGTCATTTGAAAAGATAAGTTGACTGGAGTGGTTGTGTTTTTAGCATATTTACCAATATTATAGCACATTGAGAGCAAAATTGAGTAAAAAAAAGTCTATTTGGAATATTCTCTCCCTATGGCAGTATTATAGTATGAAATGTGACAAAATGAGCCTGTCTGATCCTCTTCTAAGGTGTTGGACAATAGCTTCCCATTGGTCATGCTAGCTGGACGTTCTGGCAAGCACTAGCTTAGGGAATGGTGATGCAGAGAAAATGTACTAAATGGTCTGTAATAAAGAGATAACGTTATATGCGGTGAAGAATATCAACAGGAGATTTGAGCTGTGTATTCCCTAATGCATCTGTATTATTTTAATAGCTTGTGTAAAAGCCGCCTATCAATCCTTTCCCTTAACTACCACTTTAAGCATGAAAAAATGTTTACACTAATGCTATGCATAAGAATAGTAGTTTCTTCTTAGACCAGATGTTTTTTGCACTGAAATAAAACCAAGCGAAGTATTTTTTTTTAAAAAAAAACAAAATCAGTTCTCCCTCTCTACCAAATCATCTTAAGTGATTCTCCATACTTGCATATTCCATTCATTCTTTATTATTTTTCAAGATCATGACTTATAACTAAACAGTTAACTATTCAAATCATTCTATGTTACTGCAGTGATTTTAAATATATTACAAGAAAAATATTTCCAATTTATAAGGTATATGATCTTTTCAGTTAGAAGTGTTTTTAAAGGCATTTTTTTAAAATAAAGATCAACATTAGAGACAGTATCCTCTCCCTTTGCCTCCAAGGAGCATTCATATACAGTGGGGGCCATTGCTAAGACTAGTGCTTAAATATCCACTACTTGGACTGATTTTGAGTAAGTTAAACAAAGTAAGATGTAGTTAATATTTGCGTAGGAGGCCTCCAGAAATTGTGGACTAGACTGGGAAGCAAAAACTATCTTGGATGAAGTTGGTATAGCTGACTGACTTTTTTCCCCCTGTCTCTTTGCCTTTCTTTTCTGGTGAACACTCAGTTAACCAAATTTAAAACAAAAATGATATAAAAATACTGATTAAGATGAACAATAAATATTAAAACCAGACAGTCACATTTGTTGAAAGAAGTGCTTCTTTAGTCCTTTCTTAAACACTGATAGTATAATTCCAAGAGAATGCATTCCATAACCTGGGAAAAACTGAGCAGAAAGCCTTCCAGAAAGATGAAATTTTAATACCAGGACCACCTGGTGGCTGCTTCCATTGATTTAATCTACAAGACAGATTTATAACAGGAGAGGTAGTCCATTATGTACTCAGGCCTTAAAACATTAAACACTATAAATAGTACGCTGCTGACAACTAGTACAGGAACCATATGATCCCTGTTTCTTGCATAGATCAGCAGGCTAGCTATTACATTTTCATCAGTTGCAACAGTTGAGACTTTTTAATGGTAACTCCATGAAGAGTACATTGTAGCAGCCAAGATGGAGGTAATCAACATCTAGTTATCATCAATACCAAATCTGGTCAGTTAGGGAGAACAGCTGGAATGCTAGATGTAATTGTTTGAAGGTATACCTGGCCACACCTAGCTACTCTGGATTTAATTTTAACTTATTTTTGGCATCTAATTATATGGTGAATCCATGGAGTTGTCAAGTGTAAAGCTTGAGTTGAGGGAATTTTTCCCTTACATGACGCTTCTCTCCATTTTTCTGTCAAGTTATTTCTTCCTCTTGCCTCATCCCGATCCTTAATCTTCTTCCTCCTCCTCCTCCTCCTCCTCCTCCTCCTCCTCCTCCTCCTCCTCCTCCTCCTCCTCCTCCTCCTCCTCCTCCTCCTCCTCCTCCTCTTTCTCCACTTCTTCTTCCTCTTCTTCTCCTTTTCCTCTTCCTTTCTTCCTCCTCTTTTACTGAAAAGCAGGATAGAAATATTTGCGTATATTGTGTATATGTGAAGATGGCTAATACATGTAACCATGAAGGGTCACATGAATATATTCATTGAAGTATGAAGGAATCAGAAGGATTGGATTTAGGTGGATATGGCAATCTAAATTAATAAAGTGAAGAAGATGAGTACTGCACAGAAACTAAGGTATTTTATTGGTTTTGTTTTATCTTGTCTGGCATGTCATCTTTTTTCTTCCCAGTCATTTTCCTTTTGGAAATAAATATATGTTATAAACTACCAACATTAATACTACCACCCATGTTACAATAATTTTAAAACTTTGTAGGATGATTAAAATCAAGCTGGCTATTAGTAGTAGGCCTCTGAAGGCTTCTACTATGAGTTCAGGCCTTGAATAATCAGTTGAGACAAAATAGAGAAAACTGACTGTCCTTAAGCTGTACAGAACACTAGCATCATAAATTTTTATTTATTTATAAATTTATTTATTCAAAAAGTTGGGCTGTAGTGCAGCTAGGATGGAGGAAAATTGGATCAGATGTGCAAAGAGGACATTATTGTGTTATGATGGGAGTGAGGTATTGATGCAAAACCAAATACTGAATCTCTCTGTGAAATATCACCTGATTCAAAAACATGTAATGAATGGTTTGGAATCTGTCTTCCTTCAGGAATAATTGCCATTATTCCACATTTACTTATTTATTAAATTTAAATAGCCAACAATCTCACATATGTCAAACCAGTTCCAGAGACTCAACAGGGTGTCTTTTATAATACAGGCAGTTCTCATCTTACAATTCATTTAGTGATTCGTTTAGTTTGAAGTTAGAACGGCACTGAAAATAGTGACATGACCATTTTTCACACTTATGGCCATTGCAGCACCCCCATGGTCATGTGATTTACATTTGGATGTTTGGCAACTGACTCGTATTTATGACGGTTGCAGTGTCCCAGAATCATGTGATCATCTCTTGCGACTACTGACAAGCAGTCAAACGGGAAAC